TGTAGCACAGCAATAATTACCTTAATGTAAATGCCCTCAGTATATTAGTTAAAAGGGGGAGATTAGCATATGAGCAAAGTGGATAACAAAGCAAGATTCAGCTGTATGCTGCCTTCAATAAACTCACTTCAAACTCAATGGCATAGATCGTTTCAAAAAAAAAATTCATACCCTGCAAACATTAATTTTTAAAAATCAGAAATCACTATATTCATACTAGATAAACACTTCAGAGCAAAGAAAATTACTAGAGACATCATATAATAATAAAAGAATCAATTCAACAGGTAGGCATAACAATATCAAATGTGATGTGCCAAACAGCAGATATTCAAAATACATCATCAAGGATATAGAAGATCTGAATAACAATAGGATCTAATTCACATATATAGACATTCTAGCCAACAACAGTAGGATGTACTTTTTTTCTGGTGTCCATGGAACATTTACCAATATAGATCATAATCTTGACCCATAAAACAAACCTCAACAAATTTTTAAAAATTGAAATCCTAAAAACTGTAAATAATATGAAAGAAAGAGATAAACTGAGAAACTATCAAAGATATCCAAATTGAAAGAGACTACAAAAACCAATGCATGTTCCTTGATGGGGTTATGGACATGTATTGGGAGAGAGCGAAATTTGAACTGAAGCTGTAGATTAAAAGCCAGTATTGCATCAAGGTTTTATTTCCTTACTTAAAGAGTTATAATGATTATATGTAAGAGAATGCTCTTGTTTAGGGAAAATGTATGCTGAAGCACCTAGAGGTGATGAAGCAACACATACAGTTTATGGTTAAATGGTTCAAAAATAGTAATGATAATTGGATCACACACACAACACAGACATTCTGTGTATAAAAAGAAAGAAAGATTGAATCAATGTGGTGAAATTATAAAAATTGGGACTCTAACTAAGGGAGATATAAATGTTGTCTTCACTAGTCCTCAAAGTTTTCTCTAAGATTGGAACTATTTTAAAATAAGTTATTAGAAAAAAGTGAAGAATTTTTATATATTTTTTTTTTTTTTGGTACCGGGGATCGAACTCAGATCCTTCTGCTTGAAAGGCAGGCAGCGGAACCACTGAGCTAAATCCCCGGCCCCTTTTTTTATAATTTTTTTTTGAAGAATTTTTTAAAACGCAAACATTCAGGCAAGCAAAAGCTGAAAGATCCATTTCAGGAGACCCACATACACCGAAAGGAATTGAAGAAGATTCTTTGGGCAGAGACTATCATAAAGTTATAAAAAGACAGTGTGGAACTTTCACAAACAGAGACAAATATACCAACAAATGAAATAGACCCACTTGTACTTGAACACTTGGTTGATGACATTTTAATAATAATGCTAGATTAATAGGATTTCCACAAGGAGGGAAAAGAGTCTCTACCTCCATCTCAGCCCACAAGCTAAAAATAAAACCTGTTTTCACAGAGGGCTCCATGAGACTGGGGAGAGAGAAATATCCTCCTCATTTCACTGAGCAGAGGATACATCCCTGTAGCCCTTCAACCATTGGTAGGATTGAGAAATCACATCTTTGGCATGAAAATCAGAGTTTTCAAGTATCCTCACATGGCTCCAAGAAGCAAGCATCAACAGCATGGTCCCAGAGCTAAAAGGTACAAACACAGGAAAGCACACAAGGACTGTGGCTGACAATTTGTCACCAAGAATATGTGAGGATACACCTCACAGGAATGGAGTCTCCCTTACACAAGGCTGGGGGTTTGGGTGAGCAGATGAACGAGAGGTCCAACTGGCAGATGTGACCCAAGTGAACTCAAAGAACCACTAACTTAGGAGCTCCTCACTGGTATGAATTGGGTCTTACCTACCTCTATACCCTCAAAGACTGGCCTCAGGTAGGTACATTAGTTAGTACATTAGAGCTGCCATAACAAACCACCACAGACTGAGTGGCTTCTGTTTCTTAAACAACAGAAATCCATTTTCTCATGATGCCAGAGGATAGAAGTCTCAGATTAAAGTGTCAACAGGGTTGGCTTATTCTGAAGCCTCTCCCTTGGCTGCTGGATGGCCATCTTCTCTCTGTGTCTTTTTTATATGATCTTCCCTCTGTATGTCTGTGTCCTAATGTCCTCTTATTACAAAGAGATTAATCATACTGGATTAGAGTCTATCCTACTGACCTCATTGTAATTTGATTACCTCTTTAAAGGCCCTATCACCAAATATAGTCACATTCTAGGGTACAAGGGTTAGGATTCTAATATATGGATTTGGGGAGTCATAAATCAGCCCATAACAGAAGGTGATTGATGACTCTATGCTGAGTACGTGAATAAATGAGTAAATGGCTGAAGCTTTCAATACAACACGTCTTTTGTAGAGGAAGATTTCAAGCCCATATGCCTGAGTTGAGGGTATGGAGCATTCATGATTGTCCTGAGCTCATCCCTTCCAGCCAGCAATCAAAGTCTAGAGTGCAGCTATCCCCACAAGCATGCCAGAGAGCCAAGCTAAATGCTAATACAATCTATTTCTCATTGCTAGTTCCTCCAGTATCTTCCATTTTCCAGTACTAAACATTGAGGTCAATTCTCCAAAAGGGCTCCCTGAGTCAAATTCAGCCACCTTTGAAAATTAATTCTTACCAATCCACAAAGGCTAAACAAAGCATTTAAGCCCACACAGCTCCTGCTCTAGAGAAGACGTTTATTACCAGGATATGTGATAGCACAAGTGTCTGGCTGGCCCAAGTTCTATGGTCATTTATTGTCTTCTAGGCCAATACATTATGGCCAGAGACCAATTTTCCAATACATGGCTCCCTTGCCTTCAAATATATCCTTGCCCATATTTTGGCAACTGAAGGTATGATGGTAAAAAGGTCGGATACCATAATACTAAACCTGGCCTTCTAAATATATCAACATCTTTGTTATGGCTTATATCCAGATGTCCCCACAAAGCCTAATGTGCTCATAAGTGGGGCTTTTCAGAGCTAGCTAGATGTGGGATATGTGATACTGGGACTAAGGATGTGTGGTACTAAATTAGTTCACTGATTGGAATTAGCCTAGTTCTGGGCGTGGATAGTGGAAAGGCTAATGGTGTAGATGACACCATCCAAAATGCTTGGATGAGATAAAAAGGAAAGCAAGGCCTGCTTTCCTGTTGCTTCCACTGCTTCTGCTTGCTGCCTTTCTGCCTGCCACACCATGAACTGTTTCACCCCTGCCATTCCACCCTGCCTTGGAACCAGCTGACTGTGAATTGAAACCTCTACAAAATGTGAGCTGAAATAAATCTTTCCTCCTTTAACTTTGGGTGTTGGGTATTTTATCTCAGCAGCAAGTAACTAAGACAACCTTTAAAAATGAATGCTTTGGGCCAGGGATTTACCTCAGTGGTTCCGGCACCTGCCACACAAGTGCAAGGTCCCAAGTTCAATCCCTGGTACCAAAAAAAAAAAAATTAATGCTTTGAGGGCCGGGGATTTAGCTCAGTTGTTCTACCACCTGTTTCACAAGCACAAGATCCCGAGTTCAATCCCCAGTACCAAAAAGAAAAGAAAAAAAAGAATGCTTTGAAGTTAATCTCAATCAGTGGTTCCCTCAAGTCCTGATTGCCTACCTTTAGACATAGTGGTTTCTTTTAAAATAAATGGCTTTGACATCTATATGTCACTATCTTCATTCATTCATTTAGTCAATATTTAGTGAGCATTTACTACATTCAGGCAATGAGCTAAGACCTAGGATAAAAAATAAGTGAAAGTTTCTACTTGTCTTAATCTTATAGACTATACTCATGGGGAAAAAGACCCTAGGTAGATGATGATACTGGTGATGGTGGTGGTGGTGGTGGTGGTGGTGGTGGTGGTGGTGATCGAAAAAGATTATTTCAAATAGTGTTAAGTGCTGAAAGGGGAAGATGATATAATAGTGACACAATGGGTACATTAGCTCATAAGTTAAGAGGTGGCTTATCTGAGGAGGCAATACATGAGCTGAGGCCTGATTGTCAAGAAGGAGCCAACTTTGTGAAGATCTGATGGAGGAAACAGCATATGCAAAGACTTTAAAGTGGGGGACAAAAATATTTAGAGCAACAGAATAAAAGGCTATCATGGCTCCCCGTATCAAAAGTTCAGTAAGTACCCAGTATAATGTTTTGTGTCTTGTGGTTTAAGCTGAATTCTCCTAAGTGGAAACTGGAAAAAGACATTCATCTTTATAAACAAATAACATCTCCTTTACCCTCTCGTGAGTTTAGATTTTGACCACAGCTACTCTTAAGCTTCTGTCTTCTAACTTACAGCATCTTGATGGTTTTGGCTTTTTTCATGCCACTTCAGGTCCCCTTGATAAACATAACTTTGTCCTTTTTGAGTACCCATTACTTAACACTTACTGAGCACTTAACGTATGTGCCAGTCACCCTGCTAAGCATTTTACATGCATTATTTCCTTTAATCCTCACAAGGATTTCCTTTAAGCCCACTATGGTTGGCACTTTTAACCCCATTTTACAGGAAAAAAAATCAAGGCTCTTAGAGAATGGATGATTTGTCCAAGCACATCCAAATAAGAAATGAAGGAACTGGAATTTATCTCATCCAGGTGTGTGCCTTGACATTTTTTGCCTGCACTGTATTTTGGCTACCATTACCTTCATGAAATGTACATGGCTCATGACCTAAATGAGTTCCTAAAATTATGGAGAATGTCAGAGAGTCCTCAAGCCCTTCTAAAGTATCTTATTGTTCTGCTAATTTATTTTTCTCCAAAAACCATTTGGGACCATTGGAACCCAGTTTGGCTCCATCTGAGTCTCCAGGAAGGATTTTAATAAATAAAGAATGCCAGGATTTAAACCCAAGGCTAAAACTATATCTGCCTCTTTTGGGAACTCCCCCAGGTGATTCTGGTGGGCAGCCAGCTTGTGCAACCCAGCCTCCCAAACATACACAACCTGTGCAGGAAAACTTTCAGTGAGGAGAAATAATCACACTCCACCTTTAATCCTAATAGCTGGAAACTTCTTTCTTTGTTTTCTGAACTCTGCTTTTTCCAAACTTCGGCTGCCTGGTGAAACAGAAGCCATCCAGTGCCATAGGGTTGGAAATTCTTATAGCTGATAAACAGCTCCACATCCCTCCTGGAACCATGAGTTCTTCTTTTGGTTGTTGTAAGAAAAACAAACAGAGTACTTGAGAGTGCAAATCATAAAACAGAAGGAAAGCAGACGTTGTTCCTCATTATATCCACTTTGCAGAAAGATCAAAGGGATGGAGAGAATAGAGCGTGTGGAAGAGGAATAGGGGAGAAAGCAGTTGATGGGGATGGAAAGAGAAAAAAGAAAGAAAATGTGTGCTCCACTTACTGTGGTTCTAACTGAAAACTCCACTTGTGATATTACTCAAAAAAAGTACAGTGAGATTCTTCCCTTAGCAAGAGCATGTTGTACCTTCATTGGTTAAAAAAGATCCAAGAAAAATTTTAATCCTTAGTGCACAAAAATTCCCTAGGAGCCCAAGAAGACCTTTCTCGCTGGGTTGTGATAGAAAGCCCCACTCCTTCATGTACAATTGAAAACATTTAGGATGGCATTATAATCCTTCCTGTCTCTACACAGAACTGCCTCCATCCCTCGCTAATGTGCAGCTCTCTCAGGAAGCTCTCTTAAGCAATTAAAAATGGTTAATTCCACATCTGAACTCATCCTAGCCTCTTTATTCAGGAATTACTCACTTTAAGTACGCAAATTCGGCAAAGTTTCCTCAAACCGCACATGCTAAATGTGTAGGTGAGGCTCATTATTTTTTTTTCCAAATTAACACGAATAATGAAGTGATTATTTCTGATAACCATTTCCTTTTAATGTATTCGGTTGGTTTCTAATTTGCCAAGGGTAAGAAGGAAAGCAATATTATGTGTGGCCCATATCCCTGGGGAACAATTTGCCTCTGAGAGTCTAATGCTAGAATACCATCTTCCACATATGAGGCCTAATTCAATTCATAGCAATATTGTATTCATGTGTTTTTTTGCACTACAACTGTGATGTAAAGGGTCTCGAAAAATGGGGAGGGAAACAATTACCTTATTGGGCTGTTTGGGTTACAGCTCTGTTATTCAATAGCTGGTCCATAGGCGGCAGCACCTGAGGACTTGTATAAATGCAAAACCCTGTCTTAGTGCAGTAATATTCCCTGGGAGTGAAATCATATTTGAACAAGTCTGGAGATGTGTTTTGTTGTCAAAACCGAGGGTGAGGGTACTCTTTGCAGGTAGTAAGCAGAGAACAGGAATGGATCTGAACATCCTACAAAGCACAGGATGGCTCTCTATAACCGAGAACTTTCCTGCCCAAAAATGTCAACAATGAAACAAAGAAATGGTGATCTAGAGATAAGTGGGCTGGGAACAGTGAGGTGGGAGTAGGAAAAGTAAAAAAAGAAATTGTTTTAAGCTGGTAAATAATAGAGATAGAGAAGGAAGAAAGAAAAAGAAAACATCAGCAGGAGAGTCATGTCACTTGGTCTGAGATTATAGGACTCTGTCCTCAGGGAAGTCACCTACCATCTCTTAATTTCATTTCACACCCCTATAAAACGAAGGGTGTGTAGTCCATTTCCATCTTCCAAATGCCCTGCTCAATCCTACTCACGCATTGCCCTGAAGCCTCTAGAATCCATTACTCTAGGTTGCAGTTCCCCATATCAACTTGCAGTCTTTTAGACTCTTAAAGTGATTCGGAGTCCAGACCCTTTGGAAATAATTCTGCTTCATGAGACTTTTCCTCCATCTTCCCAGAGCCAGTTACAGAAAACCTGTTTTTCATGCTTCATTTTCATCCAGTGAGGGCAAGACACTTTCCTGGGTAGGGTGGTGAGGGAAAAAAGAAAGGAAATAGAACTTATAAGACTCTAAAATTCCTTGCGTCCTTATTTTAAACACAAAACAAGACAGGTCCCCAGTGTTATCCAACATGAGGAAAAGAGTTAAATTGTCATAAAATTATTAAAGTCATCAAAAAGGATTTAAGCAAAATCACAGTTTAGGAAGGGTTTAGTGTGAAGCATTAATTTTTAAAAGCTCAAGACACAAAATTGTGTATATCTATTTATTGCAAGAGTGTGAAAATTGTACCTGGATATAAGGACTAGGAAAATATAGAAACTGTCAATGCTGAGGGTATTGGGGTATGGGTGATTTCTTGTTGTTGAAGCTTCAGAGATGCCCACCTAACTCTCTAGCCTGGACCTGTTAACTGAACAAAAGTCTTAGATCTAGTTCAAATCCTGCTACCTCCACTTGGCTATGAGGCCTTACACAAGACCCTTTACCTATCGGATCCTAGGTTTCCTCATTTGTAAAAAGGACACCTCACCACCTAGCTCACAAATGCTGCTGTAGGAATTAAATGAGATGATGAGATAGGAAATGTAAAGGGTAGGCAGTAGGCATTCATTAAATGGTGGATGATTCTGGAGTCTTACAAAAACACTGAATACTTAAACAGTCCATCACCACAATTATATTACACTAATTGCTATGAGTGGTCCCTCCATGAACAGCAGAATATGGTTCAAGATCCACTATTTTATATCATTCAATCAGCAAGGAGAGAGGTGGGATGAGTGCTTACTATTATCTGACACAACGGAGGGTAAAGAGGGAAAGTTTGTTTTGTAAGCCTTAGAGGGTCTGTGTTTTATATTCCTCCGTCCTAGAGCAGTGTTATTAAAATACATAATTTAAGAAATTAACAGTACGGCAGCCTGGCTATTTGTTTTCACTTTTTTGTTTTTTCCTCATTTTTGTATTTTGCTTGTTCTTTTTTTTAATTTATTTTTTTCCTGTGTGAGAGAACCAAAGTTGTTGAGAACTGGAAAGGTAAACGGTTTTCTAATAATATTAGCCAAAAAGACACTGTTCTTTTGTAGTAAACTCCTGAGACCACAGCAGTTACTTTATGACTACTAAAGGCTGGTACTTGAGACTAATGTAAAATTTGGCAGCAAATGCCTTCGACCTCTTACAGTTTCCTAAAGATCTGGACTCTTTTCTTTTGTATTTCACAGATCAGCAGATTCAGATTCATTCTCACTCCTCTCTCTCTCTCTCTCTCTCTCTCTCTCTCTCTCTCTCTCTCTCCTCTTATTTTGAAATACATAGTAGATATAACTAAGAGAGCACTGATCTCCACATACGCTGATTCAACATCACCCCATTGAATATTATAGATTTGGAGATCTATTTGGCAGTGGGAAGTTGTTTTTTGAATCCATCTCATTTCATCTCATTTGAAGCACCTCATTTCTGTAGTGCTTTGTAGTGATCATGTCCTTGGCCTAAATTTTAATTTTACCTTTGGCTCAGATCTTGTAACATAATTTCTCAACCCAGCCAATCTGAGGGTTTTTTTCTCTGCCCATTCAAACATGGGCACTTAACTCTGTAAAAACATGAGTCACAAAGAAGTTTCCACAAATACAGACATTTGGGTACAAAAGATGTTTATCATAGCATTTTTCATAATTTCAGCAAAAATTACTCAAAATAACTTAAATCCTAGAGACCAGGGCATGGTTACATAAATAAAAATCAACCTAATCAATGGAAAATCGTGCAGACTGATAATATCTGCAAAGAATATTGTCACATAACGCTGAGAAATAAAAATAAAACAGCATATTATCTCTTTTTAGTGATAAAAAATGCACATACAGAAAGAGGACTAGAAGGAAATAGATCCTTGTGCTTGCAGTGGTTACCACTCCCTGTGTGATATCTTTTCTTGTTTATGCTTTTCTTCATTTTCCCACTTTTCTAGAATGAAATATATCAATTTCCCATCTGGAAATAAACTTTCACAAAGATGAAAAATGCAAGTTTGCTACATTGGAATCCAGGAAGCTAAAGTAAATCTTTCCCATCTCCTACACTGTGTATTAAGAATTTGCTTTCTCCTCTCTCATTTCAGAGAGGGAAAGTATTACCACATTATTAAGCAATCACCCAGTAGGGTTCATCCAAGAGCAATAAACTGACCTCTCAAGAGAAAATTAGTGAAGCTCAGGAAATGAGAGCTGGAAACCCAACCAAGTGATCTAATACATCCCTCAAGAGCCAGTGCCATATACATTACAGTCTCTGGTGTGGGCACTTTCTTTTCAATTTAATTTTAAATGTTTCAAGTGATTGCAGTTTCACTGCTACATTTTAGACTAGCCAACAAGCTATTAATCTATCTTCCTTGAGCAGAATATAATTCCAGCGAACTTCAGACATATTCATCTAACTCTCCTGTCCAGCCCGCTAGCTGAACAAATTGTCTTAGACCTACTTCAAATTCTGGCACCTCCACTTAGCCATAAGACCCTATATAAGCCTGGAACTTATCTGATCCTAGGTATTTTCATTTGTAAAAAGAAAATCTTATCACCTAGCTCACAAAACCTGCTGTAGAAATTAAATGAGATGATGCAGGTAAGGAATGTATTGACTACACATAGTAGGTACTCAATGAGCATTTGGTGGTTCTGAAAGGTTGAGCAGATGTCCACACTGAATCAACAATCTTTTGTTTTGTATTTCCTGGGATGACTATGAGTTAGAGTGGAGAGTATAGTTCATGACCCTTGAAAAGCAAAATTCTACTAAGCCTTGGGCTTAATCACACCATCTAAATTAACCAGCCTCAGATCAAAAATATGGTTCAAATAATTGAGTCTTTATACTATTGATAAGAACTAGAACTGAACACTGGTTGTGGGAATGGAAAAAAGAGAACAGAGTGAAGAGTCACTTTGAGATGAAATCAATAAGGTTTGATGAATACTTCCTGGAGCAGCTGAAGGAAAGAGACTAATAGTGCTCCCAAGCTCCACACTTGGCCACTAGTCAGTTTCTTCATTCAGTGAGTCAACTATTGAGCACCTTACCACCAAGAACCGAGCACTGTTCTGGGTCCAAGAGGAGAGCATAATGAACGACCACCCCCAAAAAAAACTCTTCTCTGTGGAACTTCCTTCCTAGTGGGGGAGACAGAAAATAAATAAACAAACAAGAAATTTTCTGATTTTGATAATTGTGATATAGACAATAAACAGGGTAATGGAGTGGAGACTAAAAGGATAGAGTTTACTTTATATAAGATGCCCAGGGATGACCTTTTTCAAGTGGTAATACATAGGTTGAGTGGCTCCTGAACGTTGAGGAGGAAAGGAAAACATTCAGGAGGAAGGAAAGGCAGGGATGGACAATTTGGGGTGGGGAAAAGCCAGGTGTTTAAGAAAGGGAAAAGAAATCTAAGCAACTGAAGTACAAGAAAAGAACTGGCAGAAAAGGAGGTTGGAGAAATGGGTAGGACCAGTTAGCAAAGGACAAGGACAAGTCTTGAAAAGCAGGTTTTTAAGGAAGGAAATGAGCTCACTCTCTGCAGGTAGAGTTTGCAGCATGTAAGGGAATATCCAAACTACAGATCGAGGGCTATATCCTAAGGACTAGCAACAGTATTAGGATTTAAGAAGTTGACCAGTTGCATCAGAATTGCCAGGGAGTGTTCTAGAAATACAGATTTCTCAGGTCTTAAAAAATTACAGATTTCTAAGGTGCCACTCTAGGAAATTCTAATGCAAATAGTTCTTGGCCAAGACCTGGAAATCATTTTTCAATATCCCAAGTCATTTTGGTCCATTCATTCAATAAATATTTCTTATATTCCTATATGTCAGAACAATTCTAAGTGCTGGACAATTCTAAGTGAATGGGTTTGAGGCTTAAGGTCCAGGGAAAGAACAGATAGTGAATGAGTAAATGAATAAATGACAACTGTGATGCATGCCATAAAAAAGAAAGCCCTAACCCAGTATAATATAAAATAATTATTGGATCTATGCCAGACAAATCCAAACACCTCTGTCTTAGTCACTTTCTTCTTTCCTGGGATGAAACACCTAACACAATTAAGGAAGGAGAGGTTTATTTTGGTTCACATTTCAAAAATTTCAGTCCATGTTCAGCAGGTTCAAATATAGAAACAGCATGGGGCTGGGGATTTAGCTCAGTGGTGCCACCGCCTGCCTGGCAAGCGCAAGGTCCTGAGTTCAATTCCTGGTGCCAAAAAAAAAAAAAAAAGGAAAAAAAAATTACTCTTTGGGCCAGGGATTTAGCTCAGAGGTTCCACTGCCTGCCTCACAACCGAAAAGAACCCGAGTTCGATCTCCAGTACCAAATAAATAAATAAATAAAACATAGAAACAGCGTGAAGGGCTTGGGCAGAGGAAACATGCTCACCTCCTGATGTCCAGGAAGCAGAGATACAAGAAGGAATCTCAGAGGGAGCTAAGGCCCTTCTAGACCTCACCCCCAGTCCCTGCCTCCTAGCAGCAAGTCAGTTATTAACCTCATAATCCAATCACCTTCCAAAAGTGTTGCCTATGATTGGATGAGGCTCTAGGGGAACATCTAGATATAAACTATAATAATCTCTCTTTGAGGAAGTAACATTTAAACTGACAGTTGAAGAATAAGAAGGGGAAAACCATGTGACAGCCTGGGAGAGCAGCATTTCAAGCAGAGGGGATAGCCAATACAAAGGCTGAGTCTGATCTTTTGGTTCATTCCAACTTGAATTAACCAACCATAATGGGGGAGAGGACATAATGGAGCAAATAGTATTTCATCTTTGAGTGCTCACCCAGCAAGCTACACTAAGCTTATACCTGCTAGCAGGCACCGTGCCATGTGCTGACACAAGTAGCAGTAAGAAGGTCCCCTTTCTCAGGCAGCCAATGAGGGAGACAAATAACCAAACAAATATGACCCCATGAATAAGTGAGAACATCCCAGACAATCGTTTCATGTTTCAAGAAAGCCAAGCAGATGATTAATACTCTTGCATATGATGTCAGCAATTGTTTTTTGAAACTGCATGCTAAAATTATTTTTCATTTTTATGATCCTGCCAGCTCAGAATATCCCGATTTCAGGTGAAATATTCAGGTGGATAACAGGTTTAACATACCTATCATCAACTATATTGGGGGGAAATAGCACCCTAATAATAGCTAACGTTTATGGTGCATAGAGATTTGCCTGGTTTAAATGCAAACTCATAGAGTCCTCACAATATCCTGTGAGGCAGGGTCTGTTAATATTCCTCTTTTTTTTCAGATAAAGAAATTGGGGCCCAGCAAGGTGAAGGGACTTTCCTGAGGTCATTGACCTCTCATGTGACAAATTTCCCAGCTTCATCTGGGTTCAGAGGCTAAGTTCTGACCCCTCGTGTATGGCTTCAGACACACCGGCATTGCTTTCCAGGGGTCCTGTAGGTGGAAAAATGAAGAGAGGAATTCCTTGTTTCCACATTTAAGGAAAAGTGGAAATTCCCAGAGTAATCCCTAACTCCAGTCTCCTGAGCACCCTGTGGAATCTGGGAAGAATAGGAAGTCTGTTGCCCACTGGATAGGTGGGTCCCGTCCCCTCCAATGTGTTCAAATTTGGTGGCTTTTAAAAGTGAGCTGGTCATCTTCAGCCCACGGGTTGGCCAACCTGAAACTTAAACAGGCTTGCTTCCCCTCGCTCCGCCTCCTTTTCTTCCAGACTTTTTTTTTTTTTTTTTTTGTCCCGGGGATCGAACTCAGGACCTTGCGCTTGCGAGGCAGGCGCGGCGCCACTGAGCTAAATGCCTGGCCTTCTTGCAGACTTCTTAGCCTGAGTCCCTGCATCTGTCAAGCGGTCGCTGGGCGCGTCGGCAGTGCACTCTTCCGACGCTTCTCCCGTTTTTTTCAGAACGATTGCTTCTCTTTCTCCACCTCCCCTCCCCTCAGTCTCTTCCTCCTTCCCTCCCTCCTGGTAGGGAGGCTCTTGGCCCCGATCCCTGAGCCCGAGCGGGTGCAGGCAAACGAGGCAAGAAGGGTGAAGTCACATCTCCCCTGAGCCCGGTGCCGCTGGCTTTTCGGAGCCTCGCCATGAGCTCGCAGCCACAGCCGCCGACCTCGCCGACCGTGCGCTCCTCAGCCCTCCCCGCGCCACCGACTTCGCCCATGTCTCAGTACGCCCCCGGCTCGGACCTCAAGGGGGCTTTGGACAGCAGCAGTCCGGAGGCCAACACTGAAGATGACAAGACAGAGGGGGACATACCCTTGCCGAAGAACTACCTGTGGCTCACCATCTTCTCCTGTTTTTGCCCCGCGTACCCCATCAACATCGTGGGTTTGGTCTTCTCCATCATGGTGAGTGGCTTGGTCCCGGAAGCAGCTAGGAAGGAGAGACCCTTCCTGGGAATCCCCGGGGCTCGCTGCGGCTCCCTTCCTCGCAGCCTCCGCGTCCGCCCCTCCTCCAACCTTCCTCGGGCTCTCCCCGCAGTCGCCCAACTGTCAGCACCGCCTAGGCACCTCCTGGGGGCTCAGACCGCTGACCAAGCCTCGCTCGGGCTAACTCTACGCTTCTTTCAGCGCCCTTTCCGGCGCCTCTCGCTCTCTAATCCGGGAAAGTTCTTCGTTGGATTTTGCTACTTCTTCTCTCCTCTCTAAAGGTCTAGACGGGCGCTTGGGTCTCCTCCACCCGCTTTTCTAGAGCCCCAACGCGCGCCACGAGAGCAGGCAACTGTAGCCCAGTCCGCTGAGCGCTCGGGCCCGGCGCTCGTGCTCTCCGGGCCCAGGTCTGTCTTTGTGTTAGCAAACGCGCCTCTCTGTCCTTGCTGCCTCCAGGGCACCACCTCCGCCACTCTTGGAGCGTCCCCAGGCGATTCAACTCCCCTTCCTCGGCCCCGGATCCTGCGCTTTAGCACGGCCCGATTCTCTCTGAGGCATCAGTTCCTTCTCCCTTCTTCCAATGCCCTTTGGCACCACCTTTCCACTGCGCGCCAAGCTAAAGCACCCTCGCTTCCTCTCCAGGTCCTTCTTGGACACCCTTTACGCCCTGCATGCTCGCCTCGCTTTTACTCCTTCTACCTTACCACGTCCTGGCTCCTACCCATTCGCTGCCCACAGAGCCTATCCCAGCCCAAGACTCCCAAGCGCCCTCCACTGCGTCCTGCACCTGGGGCGCTCCCGGAAATACACTGGGGTCTGCACGCAGTTTGCCTCTCCCCGCGCCCTCAGTGCGCCGGCCTCCCTGCCGAGCGCCTCTAGAGGAGAGGCCACTGGTGCCTCCGGGCGGCCGTCACAGAGCTCAGCTGGGCCGCCCTGTTCAACTCTCCTCGGAACTCCCGCGCGAACCCCACCAGGAGGCCGCGAGCGCCCGCGAGCTCCCCTAATTGACTGGAGCAGCTGGGCTGGCGGCGTGGTAAGGCTAGGATGGGCACCATCCCAGAACAACCCCTGTGGCTGCGCTCCCTCCCCAACCGGCCCACTGGTCAGCCAAGGACCGGGGAACTCCCCGCCCCACTCTGTCCTGGTTCAGCTCCGCGAAAGTTGCGAACACCCCAACCCCTCCTGTCCCCCATCAAGGGCGTCCACATTTGCTCATGAGTAGCTCCCCAGGCGCCTTGTAGGCTCCCAGAGACTCCATTTGCCACCTGAACTTTGCCTTTTCCACAATTCGGTTAGGCTGCGGGCAGCAACGTGCAAGTGCGCAGCCGCTGAAGTTCCAGTTGCCTGGGTCCCCTTGCCTTACTACCACCATTTGCTTGCGATGTGTTTCCAGAAATCGTTGAATCTCCCTGGATCGCAAATTCTTTGTAAAAAATGAGACTAACCGTAGCCATATTTCTTGGGGTTGTTTTGTTAGCATTCCCGAGATAACTGTAAAGCATTTAGCAATGTACCCGGAAGGGTGGTTATTATTATTTATTCGAATATCACTTCAAGACTTGATCAGTGTTGAAAATCAAAATCCCCCAGAAGCTATATTCTCCCTTTCTTGTTGCTTTTGGTCCAAAGTATTTCTCTTCATCTGATATGGAGATGTTTGTGTCCCCTCATTAGAATAGAAGCGCCATGAGGGCAAGGATATTTGTCAGGTTTGTTTGTGGCTGCTTCCTCAGCACTCAGAAGAGAAGCTGGCAGGTGGCAGAGCTTACTCAATATTATGAAACAAATGGGTGCATGAAGGAATAGTGTTAATGGATCTCTATGTCTTCTTTGTTCCTGTTTTTTCCCATACTGAAGCCCTAGAAGCCATGGCATCATGTTCCTTAAGCCTTAACAGCCAACTTCCTCCCTTCCTTCCTTCCTCTCCCCAACATCCGCTCTTGGATGTTTTGCATAGAGGTTGGGAAAGAGGGGCAGCCAAATCCTCCAGGCAGCAGCAGACTCTGGCTGGCAGTGATTTATTAATGAAGCAGCCAGTTTACCCCTTCTCCAGTGCCACTTAGAAAAACTGCCTGCAAAGGCCTTTGCCTTCATTGGTGCAAAATGAGCCAACATTCCTGCTGGTACTGGCAGATTGGATCCTGCTGGTTCCACTTGGTGTGCCCCGGAGGGTGAGTCTTGTACAAACTTTGGACAAAAAACTCCTTTTTCTAACACCCTCATCCCATTCCACAACCCTAGCCTCCTTTTTTTTTTTTAAACTGAGAATTGAACTCACAGCAGGGCCTTGGCATTAAGCTCTGTTCCCAGCCCTTTTTTACTTTGAGACAGGGTCTCACTAAGCCTTTAAGTTGCCCAGGCTGGACTCAAACTTGCAGTCCTCCTGCCCCAGCCTCACAGAGTGCTGGGATTATAGAACTGCACCACCGTGCTCAACTCCCAACACTTTTTCAATAGTGCTATAGCCATAACACAGACGCTGGAGACACAAAGCTGACTATGGGAAAGTTTCATACCTTTTGAAAGCCTTGGTTTCTTCCCTCTCAACTGGGAATGTGAACAGTGTGTTACAAGAAGCAAACTGTTGCAAAAATAAAGCAAAATAAAGTACATCAAGCCCCCAAACTTGTGTTAGGCATTTCAGTAACTGTCAGCCAGATGGGTAGATTTGGAATCTGGAGACATCATATGTCTTATACGAAAACAAGCAAAATATCAAACAAGTGAAAACTAAATTGTAAACAGTCCCTCCTACACCTTCCCTAACGTATTCTCTCTCCAACTTACCGGCAGTATTTTCCCACTAAAACAGTACAGACCTGGGCTTCTTATGATACATTTTATGACAAAGACTCTCAAATGCAAAGCACAAAGAAGAAGAGGAAGGATGTGCGGGGAGAAAGTGACTCTTCGTCCGTTTTCTGTTGCTAATCATACAATACTACAGAATGGATGAGTTATTTTCTAAAAAGAGTGGGAAAGGTTTGTTTAGTCTCGTGGTTCTGGTCAAACATGAAAGAACCACTTCTGGTGATGACCTTCCTGCCACTGGTGTCCCTAGATGGCACAGGGCATCACACGATCAGAGACAGGGAGAGCAGGAAAGACCTAAACAAACTGGCTTTTCTAGCAGACCCACTTTCAAGCTAATGTATTAACTCATTAATCTGTTAGTCATGTGAATGGATTCATTCATTCATGAGAGCATATCCCTAGTCTCCTCTTAAAGGGCCCATGTGGTCTCACCTCTTAATATCTCACAATGGGGGTTAACTTTCAGCATGAGTTTTGGAGGGGACACACATATTCAAAGCACAGTGTGGCCATCTAATTGTGCTAGGTGTGTTCTTTCCCTAAGAAGTCTTCTAATGATCAGTCCTGAGTATTTTCAGATCTCACTTATCTATAAATTGTGACAAGTTCAGATGGCACCATGTGTCTGGGGTCTCAACGGGGGGTAGCACTATTAACACAGAGAGAGGAGGAATCTGTGAAAGTCTATTTAAGAAGTCATTAGACAACAAGACATCATCTACCACCCCCAAGAAGTAAGGCACTTGCTAACTCTTATAGAAGACAGGACATTTGCTCTCTGCTGAGATAAAACAAAATGACGATGACACCAGTCACAGCTGAGAGGAGAGTTGAGGTGCCATATTGGAATTGAGCTTAATGCAAAGCCGGCATGTTGAACAAGGAAGCTTTTGCCTCCACTTGATTCCCTTTCTCTGACATCCAGACACAAGGTTGGAGTATTTCCCTCTAAGATGTAACAGTTGAAAGAAAAAAAATTTTAGGAGTCCTCCAAAAGTCCTAAGGCCTTGAAATCCACATCCATTCATCCTATAGAATGCCCAGTCATTGACAAACTTCATCCCCATACATAAATTGGAGAACATTTCTCAGTAATCTACCATTCCAAGAAAGTTCCAGAAAAGGAAAATGGATAAAAGAAAATTCTCAAATAAAGTACATAGGAAAAATTCCCCAAACTGAACACATGAATTTCCAGATTTAAAGGATCCTCCAATATCCAATAAAATGAATGAAACAAGATGTACACCAAGTCACAGCATGGTGGGATTTTAGATATTAAAGGATAAAATTTTTCTCCAACCTTTCCAACCTCCAAAGAGGAGAAATATGCTAAGTAGAGATTCATAAGAGCTCAGAATTCTCATCAGTAATGCTGAAAGGTGAATAATAATGAAAAAATGACCTCAAAATTATGAAGAAAAGTTATTTCTAACTTTGACATGAGGCCTATCTAAGTAACCATTTAAAGGAGAGAGAGAAATAGACATTTTTCAGACATTTAAGATCTCAAAAAGGTATTGCTTGTCATGCATCTTTTCTCAAGAAGTCATGCAATTGATGGGAAGATATGTCCCCCCAAAAAAGGAATGGATCAAGAAAAAGAAGTATCCAACCCAGAAAAGAAGCAAAGAGAAATATTCCTTAAAACAAGATGGTTGGTCTCATAAACCCACAGAAGATACAGTTCATAATGGATGGTGTCCAAAGCCATTGCCATAATCCATTATCTGGTTGTGGGCTGCACAGTAAGCCACAGAGCTGACCTAAACCTGACCACACCTGCTCTGGAAAACAAGGTTTGCAGCCACAAAGAAAGTAAATACCCACAGGATGAAAGGCAAACCCTACTGAGTCTTCTTTCCACCTGACCTAGGCTCCACCAGGGATGGCTCATCCATCAAAATTGTGTTTCATTTGGACCTCAGTTAAGTTTAGAGAGGAGATTTTCCTTCTTCCAGTGACTGGGAAAGAACATGGAAATATCAGCTTTGTCCAGGCAGCTGGCTCACAGCAGTTGATGCTGTCTATAAGTTGGAGGTCCGAATGCTGAATATTTTTTGTTGGGTCTTTCCATGTGACTTCTCTCCACCCTTTTAGGTTTCTCCCATATGACTGTCACCTGAGCAATGAGGTATTAGGATGATGGATGCTTGTGGCTTATTTCTTATTAATTTCTGTGCTTAAATCTCTGAAGGACATTCAGATAGTTCCATATGACCAAGACATTGTCTGAAGTATCCCTTTGTTTGGAAGCTG